CTATTATTGTCTGCAAATATGTCTTCAGATGGAAGGATGTGCTCTTCAGACGCCAATCAAACGGTAGTCAAACCAATGGACAGTCAAAGACATGTCGCATACTATACGCCACACAAACGGGAACTTCGAGGCGATTATCACAACAATTGATGACATATTTGTCACAAGAGTTCAATGAAGACATCACTCACAAGAATATAACCATTACTTTGAATGCCATCAATGAATACGATGCCGAAGAGCGTCTGGTGTCTGACGCCAAGAATAACACCACACTTATCATTATTATGTCGACCTATTCCTCTGGAAGTAGTGCTCCCGATGGCCAATGGTTTTGCAAATGGCTTCAGGACTTCGCCAACGACTTCCGGGTCGATAAGTCTTCGCTTAAAGGCTTAAGTTTTGCCATCTTTGGTGTCGGCGATAAGGCTTACGGCGAAGACTTTTGTCTCGTTTCCAAAGATATGGATCGATGGCTAAAACAATTGGAAGCGATTCCTGTGGTCTCAACACAACTATCAGATGTCAGCGATTCTGTCGGCTTTGATAAGCAATTCAAGGAATGGATGAATGGGTTGTCAACCAATTTGTCAAACAATTCTGTCATTAGTTCTGAAATTGATTCCCAAGAAGACATGGAAGAAGAGGATCCGCTGAATGAAAGCGCCAATAAAATAGTGGACATCGAAGACATTGTGACCAAGAAATCCAAATTGGAGTCAAATAGTGTCGTGAAGGATATGATTACACCGGAGTTGAGGAGAGAGTTGACAAAACAGGGCTATAAACTGATTGGCAGTCATTCAGGTGTCAAACTCTGCCGATGGACTAAATCGATGCTCAGAGGGAGAGGTATGTCGTGTATAACAAGTGCTATATTTGTGACTAAATGATGACTAAATGATTGACACGATTAGGCGGTTGTTATAAACACAGCTTTTATGGGATTGAGTCGCACCGGTGTATGGAGACGACGCCAAGCCTTGCCTGCGCTAACAAATGTGTGTTTTGTTGGCGACACCAGACAAACCCCGTGGGAACCGAGTGGAAGTGGTCTTTAGACAACCCGGAACTGGTCTTTTCGGGCGCCCTCTCTAATCACTACAAAATGATTAATGAATTCAAAGGCGTTCCCGGAGTTGTTGCCGAAAGATTAAAAGTAATGGACATTAGTTACCATTTTTGCCATTCATTTAAACGCTAATTACAACACAATTAGGAGGCGATGGAAGTGAAACACTGCGCCCTCTCACTGGTGGGCGAACCCATTATGTACCCCCACATCAATAGCTTTGTGCGAATGCTTCACAACAAATCGATCTCAACTTTTCTGGTAACCAACGCCCAGTTCCCCGATGCCATCAAACAGTAAGCGATGCATTGGTTTCATTCAAATCTGACACGATTTGTGGCCACAGATTAGATCCCGTGACACAACTCTATGTCTCAGTGGACGCCAGTTCTAAGCAAAGTCTTAAGCGCATCGATCGGCCCTTATTTCGTGACTTTTGGGAGCGCTTTACGGGTAGTCTAACCGCTCTCTCAGACAAAGGCCAGAGAACTGTCTATCGACTAACTCTTGTCAAGTCATATAATGTGGAGGAACTGGAAGGCTATGCATATCTCGTGGGTCTCGGAAACCCGGACTTCATTGAGATTAAAGGAGTGACTTATTGCGGGACATCTAAAGACAGTCACATAACTATGGCTAACATCCCCTTCCATGAAGAAGTTGTCAACTTTTCGGTTGATTTACTCAAGCATTTGAACAGTGGTTGTGAGAGTGACTCGAAGGCCAGGTATGGTATGGCCTGTGAGCACAAGCACTCCAATTGTGTGCTCATTGCCAACACAAAGTTCTTAGTCGACAACCGATGGCACACTTGGATTGATTACAACGCCTTCGCGCGACTCATGCAAGAGTACTACCGAAGCGATGGCACCAAAACTTTCTCATCACTCGATTACATCGAAGAGACCCCCGATTGGGCCCTTTGGGGGTCTCAAGAGAGGGGGTTCGACCCAAACGACACCCGATTTTATAGGAAGGCTAAGGAGTAGGCATTCAATGCAAATGCAAAACACGATTTCAGTAATCATTATATCATTCAAAGCAATCATTTGATTGAAACATACTATCCGTAAAAGACCTCTACTTTTGAACTCAATTGACATTTGTTTACATTTTGTATTGTATTTCGCAGTAAAACACAAAATATTTATTAGTTTTTGAAAAATTGATTTGAATTTGAGTTGAATTTGATCGCAAAGACTGATTGGTCTGCGAAGTGATGACCGAAACGACGATCGGTTTGATTGACGTCTCGTTTTGCTGCCAAAGATGTTGTCAACCCTTGCGGATCAACTCCACCCTCAACACCATCGACGAGCAGATCATCAGTGAATTGAATTCCGACATCAATTCAAACAACAATCGAAACGATCAGAAGCCCTTTGCCGTCAAAGATGTCCACAAGAATGTCATCTACAAAGTGGTGCCACCGATGCCCACCTCCACGGCCACCGACCCCTCCAATGGCAACGGATTTATTGTCATCGAGGAGACGACCAGTTCTTCGCAGTCGACGCCTGTCTCGGGCAATGACCACAAGAGCGAGTCCTCCGGTTTCAGTAGTACTCAGAAGTTGTCTCAAGAGATGAGACGATTGCGACAGTTGTTTGACATCCTGTCGGACCAGTCGGATGTGGACCACCCGTTGTGCGAAGAGTGCGCCGACTTTGTGATCGACCAAATGGACCATCAGTTGAGACAACTGGAGGACGAGAGCAAAGAGTACAACGATTACCTCAATTCCATGCCATCGGACGACAGGGGCGACCAAAACGACACCCAAACCGAGATGAATGAGTTGATCGAGAAGTTGCAGTCATTGGAGACCATTGAGAAGCAGTTGACACAAGAACTCAATGAAGTGAAGGAACAGCAGTTGAAAGCCGACGAAGAGATTGTTCGACAGGAGAATGAACTGAAGAGACTGAATGTGGAGGAAGACAAGTATTGGCACGAATACAATCACATCAGACATCACATCTTCATCTGCGAAGACGAACAGCAGAGTGTCGACAATCAGTTGCGTTACGCGAAGACCCTGTTTGACAAACTCAAGAATACAAACGTGTTTAACGCAACCTTTCATATATGGTATGAATCGGTAATTGATCTTCGGATATAGACAATGACAGTATGTGTGACCCATAGGCACAGCGGACCCTTTGGTACGATCAATAACTTCAGACTCGGACGACTGCCCACCGCTCCCGTCGAGTGGGGAGAGATCAACGCGGCGTGGGGTCAGTCGGCCCTTCTGTTGCACTCATTGGCCAATAAAATGAACTTCACTTTCAAGCGCTTCAAAATCGTTCCGTACGGAAACCACTCCTTCTTAGAGTCACTGGAGGACAGATCCCGCGAACTGCCGCTGTATTCACCACTACTTTGGTTATGGTTATTACAAAACGTATTAATTGCTTGTCTTATGCCGTGGCGATAGGTATGCTTCGGGAGGGATCCGGTACTTCTGGAACAATAAGTTCGACAACGCAATGGTGGCATTCCTCGACTGTCTCCAGCAGTTCAAAGAACACGTCGAGACTCAGGAGAAGGACTTTGTGTTGCCCTATAAGTGAGTGTAACATGTTTTACGGCTCCCTATATCTGTGAATTATTAATTAATTGAATGTATGTCTAGAATGGAAAGGGATACCATTGAAGACCCCAACACTAACGCCAAATACTCAATAAAGTAAGTCATTATCATTAAGTGTATTTCAGTTATTAGTAATGTGTAAAGTTGTGGTGAATGTATGAACCATTTGTTAATGAACTGTAAACCCCAAAGGATTCAGTTTAATACTGAGGAGCAGTGGACAAAAGCGCTCAAATTCATGCTAACGAACCTGAAGTGGGCACTGGCCTGGGTGTCCGCCCAGTTCCTCAACAATCATTAAATTTTGCAACAAATTTATAAATTAGTTATTTTTCTTTTTGTTTAATTCGTTATTTAATTCTATTTATATTAAAGTCACGTTTGAATCTGTGATTCATTAAATTACTTGAAATTAATGTATATTTTAATACTAACTTTGAATGCGATTTCATTTGAATTGATTTGTTTTTGTGATATTCAAAGTATTTCATTCATTATATACAATGAAATAAATGCCTAAATATGATTAGTATTTACAATGAATTAATGTTCAGCTCATAAACAACTATGAATTTTGCGTTTGACTTTGCATTTATCGCACGTCACTGAACAGCACCACATGAATTTGCACCGACAGTTCACTTCTTCGGCTTTGATGATAGTCTTATATCCGCGACCACAGCAAAGCAGATCACAGCCATCCGTTCCGATACTCTTATTACAGACGCGTCCCTTCGTTCCCAACGAACCGGTCAGTGGATTGGGTTCGCAAAAGTCTGGAGTTTCCTCCGAGTAGACGATGTCCTCCTTTTCGGGCGGCTTAATAGTGGTCCCCTCTGTGATGAATCCCTTGCCATCGTTGCCGGCCATCACTTTGATAGCGCCGTCGAACTTCTCTTTGAGTCGATTCCCGACGTCTCTAAAAAGTGGTAATTTTCTCCAACAAGTCTTGAAACTACACGAACCACTCATTCCGTGACATTTGCACTCATTTCGCATATTATTCTTCACGGCCTTCGCATAAAACAAAGAAAATAAATTAAAATATTAATACAATTGTCAACTATTAATGAATAGAGCGTTCACTGACTAGTCTTCCGGCTTCATAGTTGTGGAGAAGAACTAATTTCTTGATGTCATTCCTTCTTCGGAAGCCTCCGTTCATGAATTCTTTGGCTTTTTTGTAGCCAAAGTTGATATTCTCTGTACACCCCCTCCAATCGAAATCACTTTTCGAGCACAATATTGATCCCTATTTAACACATTCTTAACATTAATTCAAATTAACTAAATATATGAACAACTTTTGTCACAAACTTTTGTGATTTCATAGAGAATGGCCGCCGAAGTGATTGCGTGAACGAATGCTGTTTCTCGTGAGTCTATGAAACAAATATATTCATGAAATTATTGATAGGATTAACAAAAGTGATGATTACCTCTTAGCAATATTTTGCGGATAGCGGGTGAGGCAGTGGTACAGTTCCACTTGCGATCTCTGAACTGATTCTGACACTCATTGATGCCAAGTTTGGCGCCCGATATGATCTTACGGATGAAGTCGGGCTCATTCCTGCAAAGGATGGCTTGTTTGCCACGAAGACGCTTCACTTTATCACAGATCCGATTTGGATCCACTATTAGCTGCTTTCCCATTGCCCTATAGTTAATGAAAAAATATATATTATCAAAACTAATCCATAATAAATAGACGAGCAATGAGTCAATTAACAACCCAATGGCCTAACATCTGGTGATATTAAGAAGTCTGTCATAAAATGCTTAATCGCCGACTTTATTGCTGTGTTTTGCTTACAAACGATCGTAAAAAATCTTTATTCAATCTCTCTCTAAGCAAACTCAACCCACTATTTACTAAATGAGTGCTTTTTAATTAACTTTCTTATATCGGGAGATAAGTAATCGGAAATGAGATGAAAGTGTGAGTAGACTTCTGTACCAATCGTTTCATTACTTTTATCTTTATTTCAAGTCTAATCGTCTGAATGTTTCAAATGGTTTATTCATGTAATGCATTAATGAGTGAAACATATATTCCTAATGGGATCATAACTTTCAACTCATAAAAAATTGACATTCAAAAGTCAAATATATCTTGGCTACGTTTAAGTAATAATTAAATTTTTAAAACACTATTTTATCTTTAATTTGAAAATTATGTTAGAGTTTTATTTGATTATTATTATAGTGTTTCAAAATACTAATACTGTATTAGTAATACAGCATAACTTATTAGTACAGAAAATATTTTATTTCTATTTCACATTTAGATAATTATAAATAACTTCTATTTTATAAATACTTTATTTGTTCAACAGTTCTAAGTTAATTAATTTTTATTAGTTTATTACAATACTACTTATACCACGAAAACAATACTGAATTCATTAAATTAATATTTTATCTTAAAAATCAATAGCTATTATTTAGTTTCAAATTGTGTAGAACTGGACAATTTGTATTATAGTTATATATCTAATAAGTGATTATATTGTTAACATTTATCAGAACTCAATTCATAACAATAGATGTCTTTTGTTAACTTCAATAAACATGTCTTAGTTTTGATTGATATAATAGTATTGAAAATAAGAGTAAAGAATAGTTGAGTGTCTTATCAACAAAACTTCTTTTGTCTCTATAATTGTCTAAACATTAATAATAAGTGTTTCTCATTGTTATTACAATTAATACTAATCTAATACTTAATATAACAATATGGGGTGTATTGGAGAAAGTGAAATTAAATGAATTCATAATTATAATGAATTATTAAATACTTACCACAAGTGTGCTGAACTTATTTGACACGTAATCTCTAAAAGTATCCAAATTAGTGCAATAATTAAGTGCTTTTCCATTACGCGATATAATTTTCAATCAATATTGGGACCAAATATTTAAAAGTTTTTTGTCGATTAAATACTACAGACTTTGGCACAAAATTAACAACAATTTTGTCTGAAATATTTTGTTCATTAAAGCGATTCATTGAATGCTTTTAAGAGTAATGTCAAGCAATGAAACATAACTTATTTATTATTGGTTTTTGAGATTAGAATTAATTCCAAACAATTGTCTCTTTATTTTGTTTCAAATCATTTCACTGTTAAACACATCACAGTCTTAATGAATATAACAATCGCTGTGAAAGCAGTGAAAAACTATAGGAGACGTAAAATTTTGTCTAATATTTAGCGCTTATGTGTGAATAGATTTAGGCGTTGACCGGTCGAGACATT